TGAAAATTCTCATACATTTTAAAAACAAAATGGGAAACTTCCAATAGTTTAATGTTCAAAAGGCATAACACGGGACTGTCCACTCTCACCCTTAGAATTCTGGAGACACAAATTCCTTTCTTGCACACCTTCAGGGAGTCTCCCATGGAAAAGTTCAAGAAGCAGGGTCCTAAGACTTCCACCCTCTAATTGCTCCTCTATTAGCCCTTAATCCCTTCACATCCTTGACGTTAGCCCTCACCCTGAGGAGTGTGGGCCCAGGCACTGAATGTCCTGCACAGGACAATTCATAAGCCATGATGTTCCTTTAAAATGGCATTTGAAATGCACATCATCTAAAACACAGAAGTTACAAAAAGAAGAAAATCATTATAGGACGCAGTTTAAAAGCCCATCAGTTGCTTAGCAAACATTCCCTGTACAGAGCGAGCCCTGGAGGTAGTCCAGTTAAAGTCGACAATTGCAACCAGAGACCTGTCTTTTTGAAGATCAATTCAAAATGTGTAAGCCTTAAATTGTGCACATTAAAAAGAAAATGAAATACAAAAGAGTAGAGATACACTAAGAAAAAATCTTAGCGAAATAATCTTTATTTGACTATTTTAGACTTAAATTATTGCTGTTTTTAGAAAAAAAAAGTCTAGTGCCTCAAGTTTGAGTATGTGCACCAAAAACATGTTTCCATTTATGCCATTCAAATTGCCTATAATGAAAACTGTCTCAATTATAAAAATTAGTCCACAGTAATAGCAGGTTTACGCTTAAGAATACATAGTCTTGAAAGAAAAGAGCCATAACTGGTGAGACCAATTTTCTTCTGACATAATATTTACCTGCATGATTTATTATGCAAACATTTGCTTATTCTAGCCTTTAAGACATTCCTCAGCTGCAATAAAAACCCAGACTTGTTTTCTCAATACCTGCAACACTGGCTTCTATAGTCAGGTGGGAGAATCACTGTGATAGAGCGGGCTTTTTAAACAAAAGGTACAGCAGTGTTTAATTGTCACTGCTAAGGGGTGCTTTCAAATATCAACCACTTTCTCTTCCTATTCCAGTGATATCTGGATTACCTGTTTTGTTTTGGGCTATCTTCCAATGTCTGATTTGGTTAAAATCAACTGAAGGGCTAAAAATCGCCACATTTGAAAGCAGAAGGAAGGCACTAATCATATAAAATTCTGCCTTCCCCACAGCAAGCACTCAGGAAAGGTATATTGAATTAATTTACTGACTGTTTTGAGAAGGACAGAGAGAGACTATTTCATTGCAAGAGAGAAGTGTCATCTAACTTTACAAGAAATATATTAGTGGCTCTCCTTAGCTAAAAAGCAATAAGACTACAAGACTCAAATCAACAAGCCAAGTAATTCAGCTGCCAGGCTCTCAGAGCCAACGTGCCATAAAATTGTGGAATAGTCCTTGGGAAAAATAGCCAATTGTCATTTAGCACAGTGCATTGTATAGAGGAAGTACTCAATACATGTTTGATGACTGTAATGCTGAGATGTATACTTTGTCCACATTTCTCAAAATGTGCCCCTTTGATCACAAACAACAGATACCCAGTGCTAGTCTATTCATTTCATTCAAGGAATATTTGTTAAGTGTTCTAGGCCCTGGGGCTAGGGTTGTGAACAAACAAGACAAAAATTCCTACTTTCCTGGAACCTAGCTTTTAGTTGGAATAGAGAAGAGTTAAACATAGATAAGTAAAATGTATAGCATGTTAAATGGTAAGTGGTTAGGGGGAAAATGAAGCAGGAGAAGGATTTGAAGTATTGAAAGGGGGGTGGTGTGAGGGTTAAAATGCAGATAAGGTGACCAGGAAAGAACTATTGGGAAGGTGACTTTTGAGTAAAGATTTAAGGAAATTCAAGATGTAAGTCATGCAGGTTTCTGAAGAGCATCCCAGACAGTGTTGACAGCATGTGCAAAGAGCCTGAGTCAAGAAATTCAAGGTACCAAAAGTTAGGCACAAGGAGATGAGAGACATAAAAATAGAGACAGTGGACTACAGAAGGCCTTGTGGAACATGGGAAAACCTTTATCCCTTGAGAGACGGGGAGAGATTAGGGTTTTGAGCAGAGGAGTGACATGACTTGACTTAGGTTTTAAGTGTCACTCTGGCTGCTCTGCGGACAGTAGAAACTAAGGGATCAAGGGCAGAAGCAGGAAGAGATGCTACCTGCCTGAAATCTGTGTTTTCTCATGCTCCCTAAGTGATTCTCAGGCACAGTAAAATCTAAGGACTGTGACTTTAAATGATCTAAGCAATTGAAACAAAAATTGATCATATGATCTGATTAGTTGAAATCACTAATCCACACTTTGCTCATGAAGAAACCCAGTGTAAGTCATTTGGACTGAATTCAGCTAACAATCCATCAACTCAGCCAAGCAGTGCTTCAGGAAGGAAGCTCCCAAGAGATTTGGCTCCTTACCCTGTGACACAGGACACCTTCTGAGAGAGGTCTGCTCCACAGGGAAGGAAACTAGACCTAATACAGTCACATGGTATTGCTACAGTTGACTGCATCACAGAACAGGTACTTTATATAAGCATAGTTAACTTTCAGAATTCAGCTAAAATTGGCCAGTGCCGCGGCTCACTAGGCTAATCCTCTGCCTGCGGCACCGCACTCTGGGTTCTAGTCCCGGTTGGGGCACCGGTTCTGTCCTGGTTGCTCCTCTTCCAGTCCAGCTCTCTGCTGTGGCCCGGGAAGGCAGTGGGGGATGGCCCAAGTGCCTGGGCCCTGCACCCACATGGGAGACCAGGAGAAGCATCTGGCTCCTGGCTTCGGAATGGCACAGTGCGCCGGCTGTGGCGGCCATTTGGGGGGTGAACCAACAGAAAGAAGACCTTTCTCTCTGTCTCTCTCTTTCACTGTCTAACTCTGCCTGTCATAATTTAAAACAAAATTTAAAAAAAAAAAAAAAAAGAATTCAGCTAGAATAGATTATTGGACAAGAATGTTCCATGATTACTTTAAAATAAAGAATTTCATTTAATTTATTTTTTAATTTGAAAGACAGAATGAAAGAGAGAAAGCAAGGAAAAGAGAGAGAGAGAGAATCTTCCATTCACAGATTCACTCCCCCAAATGACTGCAATGGCCAGGGCTGGGCCAGGCAGAAGTCAGGAACCTGGAAGTCTGCACATGGGTCTTAGAGACCCATGCACTTGGGCCATCTTCTGCTGTGTTCCCAGGAGCATTAGCAAGGAGCTGGATTGGAAGTGGAGTAGGTGGGACTCAAATGGGATTCCAGCAGCCTTGTAGGTAGCAGTTTAGCTTGCTGCACTACAATGCCAGTCCCTACATTTTTTAAACTTATTTATTTGAGAAGGTGAGAGTGAGAGAGACAGAGATATCCATGTGCACCCTCATCTGCTGATTGATTTCCTAAATGCCAGATACAACTGCCGAGGAAATCAATCCAGGTTGCCACATGGATGGCAGGGGCTCAATTAGTCGAGCCCTCACTGATGACTCTGAGGATCGGCGTTGGCAGGAAGCTGCAGTCTGGAGTCAGAGCTACGTATGGAATCCAAGTGCTCCAGCGTTGAAGCTGGGCATCTTAACTGGTGTCTTAACTGTTTTTTAAATGAAAGCAAATGAGCACTTATGTGTCACCCCAGATATGTACAAATACATTTAAAATCTATATACATAAATTCTGTATTCTACAAAACTGTATATATAAACATTATATAGGCATCTCTTACACACACACATGATGGTACTTGAAAAAGTTTGTGAAAATAAATTAAAAGTTTATTTATTTATTTATTTATTTATTTTGTAGAAAGGTCTTCCTTCCGTTGGTTCACCCCCCAAATGTCCACTACGGCCGGTGTGCTGTGCCGATCTTAAGCCAGGAGTCAGGTGCTTCCTCCTGGTCTCCCATGAGTGTGCAGGGCCCAAGCACTTGGGCCATCCTTCACTGCCTTCCTGGGCCACAGCATAAAGCTGGACTGGAAGAGGGGCAACCGGGACAGAAATAGCGCCCCAACTGGGAAGAACCCGGGGTGCCGGTGCCACAGGCAAAGGATTAGCCTAGTGAGCTGTGGCGCCGGCCAAAAGTTTATTTTGATACAAAAAATTTTTGAAATACATGCATAGGATTTTCATAGCATACATTTTCCATGATCTTTTTTAAGACCCCTGGTCTGCATAGATTTTGAATTTTTTTGCATAAAAATAAACTTATCTTTTAATTTCATTTTCATAAATGTTTGGCAATACTTTAATATTCTATAATATATTCTAACTATATGTATGTCAAAATAAAATTGATATTCACAATATTTTAACATCTGTTTCATAATTATGACAGCATTGTACAGCTCTTTATAACTGAAAGAATTAGACTCAGTTCCATAAACTAAATATAAAAATTTCTTTCTAGTCTATAGTTGCACTACATGTATACACACACCCCTATATTTTAATTGGTTTATAATCTATTCAACAGAGGGCAAAGACTGCATTCTATTTGTTTTTCTATCTCTTTTATATGCTTATGAATTATCTTATATGCTTCCTCCAAATTCTATACACACTAGGCACACAGAAAAAAATTTTAACTGGCCACTGATGAACCAATCTAGAGCAGTGCATCAATGAGAATCAATGATCAGATACTTTGTTCCTCTATTCATTTGACTTATTTGGCCCCATCTAAAAGCAAACTTAAAAATTTGAAAAGGATATGCCTTGATAACTGAAACATGAAAACATTAAAGGGAATTTATTGGACCAATGCTTTTATTTTCATGAGAACATTTACAGCTTGCTGTTCTTTTTCCTTGAGCATAGTTCCCCTAAGGTATTTTATCATAAAGGCCTAATTCAATGTGAATTTTTACAAAGACACACAATAAACTGAAATTTTAAAAAGCATTTATTGTTAACAGCATGATTTGCTATTCAGGTACCAGTTATTCTTTTGGGCAGAGCCCAGGTAATTGCTTACCAAAAATGAATACTGATTACCTTCTCTGGTGAAAGGAGCCTCCAGGTGTTGAAGTTTAAGGCCAGTGTCTAATGTCTGAGGCTTCGTGTATAGAAATAAATAGCAAAGGACGCAGACACTGATGACAAAGGCAAGTAAAACAAGGGCAGCAATTCCCAGTCCAATCAGAGCACCAACGCTGAGGATAATGGAAAAAAAATCATGTCACACAAACTAAAGAAAGGGTTTAAATGTTGTTAATTCTTGTACTCAATCACTTACAAATTATATTTGAGAAGTAAATGGTTAAAATCTACAGGTCTCCTTTTTCATTTTTTAAAATTTAAACATTTTATTGAAATATGGCATACATACCAAGAAATGCACATAAGTGTACAGGTAAATGAATTTTTGTTCCTCTGCTCACACTTATAACCCAAATTAAGAACAAAACATCACTGTTAACTGCCAAGAGTCCTCACTACTACCCCTCTCCATTTCTTTTTTTATCCTTTAACATGAGGAAAGAAGACTATAATGTCATTTCCATGGTATACTTCAGTGAAACAATACAACTAAATATAAAATGATACGACATCTACACAATTTTTATACTCTAGATTGAACAAATAAAATAAGTAATATTTGTTTTTCTGTGTCTGGTTTATTTCACTTGGCATAATGATCTCCAATTGCATCCATTTTGTTACAAGTGTCAGGATTTAATTCTTTTCTATGACTGAGTATTCCATCATGGATATATACTGCATTTTCTGTATCCAATCATCAGTTGACGGACATCTAGGTTGATTCCATATCTTTGCTTTTGCGAATTAAGCTGCTAAAAACGTGGGAGAGCAAGTATCTCTTTCATATGCTGGTTTTATTTTCTTTAGATATAGTCCCAGGAGTGGGATAGTTGGCTTATGTGGTAGATCTATTCTTAGTTTTCTGAGGAATCTACATACTGTTTTCCATGATGGTTGTACCAGTTTGCATTCCCATCTACGTTGTATTAGGGTACCTTCTCCTCCACAACCTCATCAGCATTTGTTTTGATTTTTGGATGATAGCAATTCTGTCTGTAGTGAGGTGATACTTTTTTGTGGGTTCTATTTGCATTTCCCTCATGGCTAGTGATCCTGAGCATCTTTTCATGTGTCTATTGGCAATGTGTATTTCATCCTTTGCAAAATGTCTGTTTATATCCTCTGCCCATTTCTTAACTGGACTTTTTGTTGTTGTTGAGTTTCTTGAGTTCCATATATATTCTGGATATGAATCACTTACCAGATACATAGTTTGCAAATACTTCCTCCAATTCTGTTTGTGCTTGTGCCCCTGCCATCCACATGGGAAAGCCAGAAAAAGCTCCTGGCTCCTCGCTTTGGCCTGGCTCTGCCCTGGCCATTGTGGCCACTCGGGGAGTGAACCAGTGGATAGAAGGTACCTCTCTCTCTCCTCTCACCTCCTTCCCTCCTTCCTTCCTCTCTGTAACTCTGATTTTCAAATAAATAAATCTTTAAAAAATATTTTCACTTTACTTGAAAGGCAGAGACAGAAGAAGAGAATCTGCCATCCGTAGATTCACTCTCCAAGCGCCCACAATAGCCAGGGTTAGCCAAGTTGAAGGCAGGTGCCTGGAACCCAATCCAAGTCTCCCACAGTTGTGGAGATCCACATACTTGACCCAGGGTGTATTAGCAGGAAGTTGCATAGAAAGTGGATGCAGACATCCCAATATGGGATGTAGGCATCCCAAATGGCTTCTTAAACACTGAATCAAATGCTCACCCCAGGATACCATTCACTGACATACAAAACCACAACAAGGCATTATAAAAGAGAAGATTTGAGATAAAGCAACAGAATTTATGAAGCTGATTATGAAGTTCATGTTCAGTCTGAGTTTTTCCTTTATAGACGGGCATTATACTTCTAAAGGGCAATGACTTCTGGCATTAACAGAAAAAAAAAACCATTGTACTTTTATCTAAAAATAAGATGCATAGACTGTATTTGCTCTGCACTGAATTTATAATAAATTTTCTGCTGCAGTTACCTATAAGGCTAAGTGCTTGAAAAGGAATATGCATTAGATAAGGCTGTGGACTTAGCACTATTCAATGGGAAAAGGCTCTGGGGGGGGGGGAGGGAAGCAAATCTTAAAAGACTAATATGCAAATATATGCACTTCTTGAACTCTGTGTGTGTGTGTGTCTATGTGTGTGAATATCAATTATCAGGTTTTAATCTGCTCAAGAGCAGATATTTCTGTTGATTTTCCTGTAATGTTTAAGACAGGTATTAAGGTATTTAAGCAGTTAGCTTGTAGAAAATGTTGAATAAATACAAGTAAATATTAATTGGCTGCTGACTGATCCACCTGTAGTAATTTGGAACTTTGCATCATTAAAAAGCAATAATCTTCTCCTTCATTTTCTTTCTGGTTTGCCTTTCAGCTTCTGTTCTTTTCTGGGAGCAGGGGCCCTGGCAGATCTGACCCATAACAGAGAGGAGGAAAGGGAGAATTTGGCCAGGGGTGCTAGAAGGACCCCTGCTTTTAGAGAAAGAACAGAATTGAAAGTGAAGGGCTGCTGAGCTCACCCTGCTAATCATTGATTTGAGGAGAGAAATCACACCCAAATGAGAGATTCCTTCCCGAGCCACACACGTGGGATTGGACTGCCAGAGATGCATGTGCTTGGTCTACAGATGTCAGCCCACCCTATACATGGATGAAAACTGGGCTGTTTTATGATTAGAGTCTGTGTAGAGTTATAGGTGAGGCATTTTGGAAATTGCACATTATGAATAAACTATGCATGTGTTTCAATATTTTTGGACCAAAATAAACTTTTAATTTCACTGTTCCATAAACTTTATGAAGTGCTCTCATATGTAAACATGAGGTTTTTCCCTCATTTAGTGCACTGTCTTCTAAGGGGACAGACTCCTTATGTTTAGCAGCTCCTCGTTTATACTTGTTTGTACCAAAGCTGACCTTTATAGATCGCATCGGAGAGGGTTTGGATCATTTCACTGCACACAAACCCCTGGGAATCTAATCCATTTGGTATTATTTGGTGAGCAGGTTCCCAGGAGGCTAGACATCTGCAAAGGCTCCTGAAATAAGAACCTGATTATTAAAAATTTTTCAAAGCAAAAAAAGGAAATTTACTCAATTTGAAATTGTTGATTTAATTAAATCAATCATGTGAGAGATTTTAATGGAGAATGCATATTCTAAAAAAAAAAGTATGACTTTCAAAACTTTTTGCACCAGAATAAACTTACCTTTTAATTCCATCTTTCTATAAACTTTTTGAAATACCCTCACATGTATTGTGGGTTTTCAATGTACAAATTAAGAAATCTTGACAATCTGTTTCAATTTCACCATTCTACTCCATGGAAACATTGCTTTATGAATGCAAAACCTCAAGTATAATATACTCTGAGTAGAAATGGAGCTCTAGAATTTCCTAAAGTTCTCATTTCAACAAATACTTACTGGATATCCACTCACATATCATCTTTTCCAACAGACACTATTTTCCTAGATCCTGAAGAAGGTTTCCAAAGGAAATCCTAAGAATTTAGAGAGGTATAGGAGGAGAAAAGATGGGAGAGGGCCAAACACAGGACAGGAAGAACTATGCACCATATGGCAGGTACTCTTCAGGTCTCAAGAGAATCGGAAGCTGCCATCACATTAATGCAGCCATTCTTCCTCTTAGAAACTTCACTTAATCTGGTGGTAGTCGGTGACTGGGTGTCTCTCCAGTAGCAGTGGAATTTCAGTAAAAGAGTTAGTGACTTCTGGAATATTTTTTCACAGTTAGACTACTTTAAATTAGGAGTGAAGAGCAAAGGGTGGGAGGAGGGGAAGAGCAAAGCTGTACTAAATTTACTTCCCCATGGTGTTCTCAGAGCTCAGTAACTCACCCGAGCCCCAGTTTTAACCTTGCCACATGGCACTACCAGGTACAGTGCTTTTCTATTTGCCAGGAATGAGCTGCATTATCCATTTTTTTTTTTTTTTTTTGACAGGCAGAGTGGACAGTGAGAGAGAGAGACAGAGAGAAAGGTCTTCCTTTGCCGTTGGTTCACCCTCCAATGGCCTCCGCGGCTGGGGCTCCACGCTGATCCGAAGCCAGGAGCCAGGTGCTTCTCCTGGTCTCCCATGGGGTGCAGGGCCCAAGCACTTGGGCCATCCTCCACTGCACTCCCTGGCCACAGCAGAGAGCTGGCCTGGAAGAGGGGCAACCGGGACAGAATCCGGCGCCCCAACCGGGACTAGAACCCGGTGTGCCGGCGCCGCTAGGCGGAGGATTAGCCTAGTGAGGCGCAGCGCCGGCCTGCATTATCCATTTTGTCAGTGCCAAAGGAACCCCCCAGCAAACTGTTCACTCCTTTCTGCCCTTACAAATCTTAGGAAGGTTTTAAATTCTCTGCTGCTTGTCACTTGGAACTATTTGGGGATCTGAGAATCTCAGGCACGTTTTCCAATTGGGTTTGATTTAAGAGTTGTCAGTCACTGTTGGAGATGCTTTTGCCATCATTAACACCTCCAAAGACTCTAACAAGATAGATTACCATGTTGTTGTTTTTCTACCAGAAAGCCAAGTAATATGTCAGTGCAACCAACACCGATTTCTCTCCCAAATAGTCTACTAAGGATCTGGTGGCATTTCTTCTCACACTTGCCCTAGTCCACCACACCTCCGAATTGAACTCACTGGAAGGTAAATAATCCTTTGGAGAATTTTTGTTTTTGACACTTGCAGTAAATTCCTTTTTCTTTTATTGCTTTAAGAAATAACATGTACTCATTTGCGTGTGTGACACATTTTAGGAGAGAGATATAGAGAAATTATTTATAGAAATAAGACTCTACCTCCTACTAGCAGAATCCTTCCCCTCTCTTGTCCAGACCTGAGTTAATCAGTTTGTAAGACAACTACCTAACATCTAAGAGTGAACGTTTTTCCTGCCGTCTTGGGACCCCATTTCTTTTCCAGGCAGTATGATAGTATCAAGTTCAAAGTTTGCGGTCCTTTGGAGCCAAAGAAGAGTAAAGCACAGCATGATGAAGATGACTGTGTAATACTAATTGGAATAAATAAAATTCCCATCGTAGGAAAAAGCAGCAAGAAAAGTCTTCACTTTCGAGCCGTGGACAAATGGCTCAGGTGTGGAGAAAAGGGATGTCAGGAAGAGTTTCTAAGAGTGTGCTATTGTGCCCACTAAAAACTCTGCCCCTGGGGTCGGGGTCAGATCAGCGGAGAGGGCCAGTTACACAGCCCAGTGGCTCGTGCACGCGCATACACAAACGCTTGCTCACGCGCGCGCGCACCCCCCCCCCCGCCCTCCCATTTGGCTATTTTACAGAATACAGCCTATTCCTTAACACCCACAAAGAGTGTTAAAATGCTCTTTGTCTTTGGAGACTGCCTTAAAATGAGTCCCAAAGGAGCCTCCTTTCTATTCTATTCATTTGCAGCAAACGATCAAAGAAACCCCCAAAAAGATATTAAAACCCGCGCTTTAACTAACCTGCTCTTCTCTCTGCCCCAGAGCCGCCTGCCCGGTATTGGTCCAGGGCGGGTCAAGGGCGCAGACAGGAGGGGAGCGAGCGGGGCCAGCCCAGGCGGACGCCGGTGCGCCCAGAGCGGAACCCGCTCTCCCTCCGGCAGCGCACGCCTGGTCCTCAGCTCCTGCTCCCGGGAGGAGTTCCGAACCGGGCGAGGTTGCTCTCCCTGGAGCCTCACCCACCCACCCGGGGAGGGTTCGCATTCTGCAGGAGGGACCCGACCAAGGAGAGCCGCGGGGACTCGGGAGCTCTGCCCGCCCTCGGCGTGGCCCGGCTCCTTTGCCTCCGCACACCTGGTCCCGGCCGGCCGCCGCCCGCGCGGGCTCCCGCCCTGCCCACCTGAGGCTCCACATGTAGCTGTGCTTGTAGGGGAAGTAGCTGCCCGGCTCGCTGCAGCAGTACTTGAGGTCGGCGAAGCCACAGCAGTAGAGCAGCGCGGCGCCCTCGCCGTGCCGGGGGCACTGGAAGGGCTCCACGAAGCTGTGGTTGAGGCTGTAGTAGCCGGAGCACAGGCGGCTGGCCTCGCTCATCGCGCGCGGATGCTGGCAGGGGCTCGCCAGGCCGCGATCTGCCCTCGGACCGCGCGGGCCCGCACCCCCAGCGCCCGCGCCCCGCTCCGCCCGGCTCGCCTCTCGCGATCTGGGCGCCCAGGCTCCTCGTGCCCGCCTGCTCTCCGGTTCGCGGAGCACACGGACGCTGCGCTCTCGCCGCTGCCGCCCGCTACCGAGAGGTCCTTTTATCTAGCGCTCTCCGCCCTCCTCCACCTCTTCTCCCGCTGCCCGCGCCACTTTCCCTCACTTTGTCAACAGCCGGGAGACCTCAGATGTCCCCACTCCACGCCAGAGACTTCGCCCGAGGGAAAGGGGAGGTGTGGGTCAGATGAGTAATCTGGGCAGATGCAATCCACGTTGTAGTCCTGTTTGCCGGAGACAGGGCAGGTGCGTGCCAGGCAAACACCGCGGGGGCGGGGCAGAGTCTTTAGGGGCCGGCTGACCCCAGCAGTGGGCAAGTGGGCGGGGGTGGAAGGCCATGGGACCGCGAGTGAGGGGACTGGTGCCTTCCTCCTTTGACAACACGTGAGGCATTAAAATCTGCCCACTTTAAAATAAAAGTTAGAAAACAAAAAGTTCTCCCAACAGTAGCCATAGGTGTTTTTCAAACCTGCTGTGGCTGCATTCTGTGTTCAGGTAAACAACCTAGAAAGAGAAGGAAAGGCAAAAAAGATGGAGGCCAAGAGAGAATTTTCTAGAAAGAGAGGCAGAGGCAATACAGAGCCCTTCAGTCAGACACAGACTCGTCCCCTCTCTTGTATTCTCCTTTGGTTTGTTCACAAATTTCTTTCTTCCTTCCTTCCTTCCTTTCTTTCTTTCTTTCTTCCTTCCTTTCTTTCTTTCTTTTTTTTTTTTTTAAGATTTACTTTATTTATTTGAAAGAGAGTTACAGAGAGATGTAGAGACAGAGAGAGAGGTCTTCCATCCACTGGTTCACTCCCCAATTGGCTGTACCTGCACCAACCCAAAGCCAGGAGCCAGGAGTTTCTTCCAGGTCTCTCACGTGGGTGCAGGGGCCCAAGGACTTGGGCCATCTTCTACTGCTTTCCCAGGCCTTAGCAGAGAGCTGGATGGGAAGAGGAGCAGCCGGGTCTCGAACCAGTGCCCATATGGGATGCTGGTGCTTCAGGCCAGGGCGTTAACCCTCTGAGCCACAGCACAGGCTTCTACAAATTCTTTTTCAATGACAGTTAATGCAGGTTTTTTGTGATAAGTCAAACAGTAGGTCTTTGTGAAAAGAAGGGAGCAGTAATCCCCTAAGAGGGGAAGGGGAGACTATAACTTTTGCAGAATTTCCAAGATACCTAGAACATGGTTCCTTCCTCCTCCTTTGCTCCGTCCTCTTAAGGACAGGGGGCTTGATTGGATGCCAGATGTCATGAATTTCACTGCTGTGTGCTGGGCAGTGTTGTGTTCCTACGACGTTCCCGAGCGTGGTTCTGGGGTGCAGAGTTTCCTGGGAAATGGCTCAGATCCTTTAGGTTCATGCTGAGCTTGGTTAGGCAGGACTTCAGGACTTAGGTCTTCCCGACTACCAGGGCCATATGCTCACAGTGCTCTGCCTTATGAATCACAGAGCTCACTCGCCTTTCTGGCCTGTGGCTCACAGAGGACTCCCAGCCTGTGAGGCTCAGCTTCTGGGGCTGGTCACACTCTTCCTTTCAGGTGTAATTCTTTTCCTTGCGTAATTACCTCCCATGGGACACACTGATCAGTTCTCAGCAGAAGGTTCTGATGATCCCCCAAATACTCTCTCTCTCTCTCCTGCCTTTGGGCCTCCTCCTTTCCCGCCCCTCCCTCCACCCCCTCACCCTCTCTGCTCTGCTCTCCAGCTCTCATGTCTGATACTCTGTCCTCCTCCGGCCACAGCCACCATGGCTTCCCTGGACTCCCAAGTCTGCCTTATCAACTCAGAGACCGCTACTGGGCTCCACATGGGTCCCCCTCCTTGTCCTGCCTCCAATGGACTGGGGTTATTTTAAGGCTCACCCCACCTGTTTCCCTTTCTTAGACATCACTGCCCTGTATACCTGATACTTATGCCCAAAACCTATGGTTTCATATATTTTGTTTGTTTAGGTGCTTCAGGTCAGAGGGTAAATCTTGTCCCTGTCATGCCATGGACTTGGCCAGGAGATGATCCAACCCAAGCAAGGTCAGCTGGGGCTCCCGGAATTAAAATTCTAGCACGTGATTGGGAAGCTGGGGGAAGCTGGTCTGCAAGATAGAAAAACTGGCAGCAGAGAGGAGCAGAGAAGAAGGATGGAAGTGGTGCTTGCCCGTGTCCTTTCCTGAGGCCCATGGAAGCCCTATCTTTTAGTTTCATCAGACACCCTCAATTCCTGAAAGTGAAATTTTTCTGGCTAAAGTATGTCCCAGCTGGATGGTATTACCTGCAAACAAAGGGTTCTAACACAGGTCAGGGGTAGAGACAGTTGAAAGGGAAAAACTGAAGCTCTTTCATCAACGGAGAAGGTGATCTTGAAAGAAGGGGAACTAGGTAGCACATGTGGACATTCTTCCCCTATTGTACAGGAGAAAAGGGAATTTGTCCATAGAAAGGCAGGAAGTTCTTCAGTACAACATACACACATATATGTATATGAAATACACAAAAGTCTTCTGTGGAGCACGAGACGGCAAGGCAGAAATTTGGTGATTGGTGAAGGTGGAAAGGATTGAGAGCGAATTCCGTGGGAACAGCCTGGGTAGCAGGCAGAGTGGAGCATAAACTACTGGGTGCATCCTTGAGGGCTCAGTGAAGAACCACAGCTTTTGGTGGAACCTCTCCCACCAGGAAGGCTCGCCTGTCCCGGAACCGTGGGCTTCCTAGGGAAATGAGCGTGGGGTTGGTCAGGATGACTCTGCGGCTGGCACGGCCATCTCAGCACATCGTCCTTCTGCACCCCAAAAACACAGGGAGACGTATGCCAACAGCTGGCAGACTCTACCTTGAGGCCTCTGAAGCTCAAGCCAACAAAGGAGCCTTTTTTTTTTTTTAAGAAAAAAGATTTATTTTATTTGAAAGGCAGAGTTACAAAGAGGATGAGGTGGGGTGTGGTGGGGTGGGGGGCCTCCAACTGGCGGTTCACTCCCCAATGGCTGCAATGGCTGGAGCTGGGCTGATCTGAAACCAGGAGCTTCTTCCAGACCCCCCCAAGAAGGTGCAGGGGCCCAAGGACTTGGGCCATCTTCCACTGCTTTCCCAGGCCATAGCAGAGAGCCCGATCAGAAGTGGAGCAGCCAGGACTCGAACTGGCGCCCATATGGGATGCTGGCACTACAGGTGGCTTCACCGGCTACATCACAGCGCCATCCCCAAAGGAGCCTTTTAACATGGGAAGCTTTTACAGCAGTGCCAAGGCTGTGGTTTTCAATCAGTTCATAAAACTCATATGGCTTACCTGACCCTGCCTGCCTATGGTTCAAGCTGCCTGCATCCAGGTAGGATGTTCTCACAGGGAGTGGGTGGGGCTCCTACAACATCAAAAGATAGCCCCAGACTGCAGCTTTTTCTTTCTCCTCTTGTATCTCAGCAATCCTGCACAAAGTTGATATTCCTGCTTAGCAAATATTTTGCAAATAAAGAAGTATCTTCAGTTGTCACGATAATAAGGTATTGAGGGGATATGGGCCAGGGATGCTAGACGTCCCAACATCCTGAGACGTGTACAGGAAATTTGAAGAACTGTTTGTAACATTATAATGATCGGTACTTAGAACCTGTCCCCGTGTCTCAAATAAACACAACATATTTATTGAATTTTCCAGGAATGCAGCTACCATGTAAATTGAAGGAAGATTGCTCTTTGTTTTCTTTGGAACTTTACCAAGAGTTGTTCACTCTTTCAGGAAATCTTGCGCCCATGGTGATGTTACTCGAGGTTTTGTGTTTATGTTGCCAATCTCACACACAGCTGCCATTCCTATTGTCATTCTGTAATGATGGATAGCTGTTGCATGCACAGTATTGGTGTAAGCATTATATCTTTTGGTGTAGTTGTATTTGAACATCTACTTATGGAAATACATATTTTATTGTAAATTACACTCCAACTTATTTCTTCTTTATAATAAAGGCATTATATATAATGAATGTGCTTGCTAAGACCACTGTAATAAAGTACCATAGACCAGGTGGCTTAAACAGATTGGTCTGGCAGTTCTGGGGCTGCAAGTCAGATCAAGACGTTGGCAGGATTGGTGACTCCTTAGGGCTGTGAGGGAGGGATCTGTTCCAGGCCTGTCTCCTTGGCCTGAAGATGACTGTTTTCTCCATATCATCTTCTCACTGTACCTGGGTGTGTCTGAGTTTCCCCTTCTTATAAAAACACCAATTATGCTGGATTGGGGTCTACCCTAATAATCTCGTTTTAGCTCAGTCACCTCTATAAAAACCCTGCCCCCGGCTGGTGCCGCAGCTCACTAGGCTAATCCTCCGCCTAGCGGCGCCGGCACACCAGGTTCTAGTCCCGGTCGGGGCGCCGGATTCTGTCCCGGTTGCCCCTCTTCCAGGACAGCTCTCTGCTGTGGCCAGGGAGTGCAGTGGAGGATGGCCCAAGTGCTTGGGCCCTGCATCCCATGGGAGACCAGGATAAGTACCTGGCTCCTGCCTTCGGATCAGCGTGGTACGCCGGCCGCGGCGCGCTGGCCGCAGCAGCCGTTGGAGGTTGAACCAACGGCAAAAGGAAGACCTTTCTCTCTGTCTCTCTCTCACTGTCCACTCTGCCTGAAAAAAAAAAAACAAAAAACCCTGTCTCCAAATACTGTTCTGAGGCACCAGGAGTAGAGATTTAACATACAAGTTTTGGGGGTGGAAAGTGAAGGACATAATTCAATGCATAATGATTGGGTATGTAGATACATCATGGTACATGTGATTTTTATTTTAAGATAGCAAAGAGAGAACTATAGAAACAAACATTTCTATAAAATGGGGATATTGAGATTGAGACAGCTGAGAACTGCTGGGATATCTTCTTGAGTTAGTGGGAAATGACATGGTTCACAGGTGAGAGCTGTTCCTTAATACCAATCTCTAGTCTAATAAGATTTACCCAAGCATTGGCATGCTGGAACAGAGAGAGTGAGAGCGAGATCAGAGGCAGGAAATGTCTATCAGGTAACAGAAGATGAGGGTTCAAAGGAAGCTAACTTGGCTCAGAAAGAAGGAGGCCACATGAGTACTTTGCTCAAAAGCCTTTAGCAGATTCTTGTCCCCAAAGCCTCACTCCTCAATGCTACTTTTCTGCTTTTCCAGTTGGATTTCACTCTGGTTCATCCCTAACATGCTCTCCTGCTCTGGGAAAGCAGTGTTTTCCTGATTCAGAAATGTCTTCATATAAGTTCTTCTATTCAAGAAGTACTCTGATTTTCTTCTTTTTAAAAAATATTGTAAGATTTATTTGTTT